TGTGAGCATGAGAGTCATAAGCCATTGCCTCAAAAATTTTGAAGTTATCTAATAAGCAATGCTATGACAGAGCATAACCATTACAATAGAATTTATACTTGGACAACATATCGGAACACTCCATCACAACACAGTATGATGTATAGGCAAACTAAAAGTCAATTAATTTTAACAATAACATATTAGATATGCATAATTTCCACAGATAAGCACCACAGTCAATGGAACTGTCTTTTTTGGGTACAAACTGTTGCAATAATAAACTAAAATTTGTAAGTTTGTACATACCACTTCATAGTATGTTTGTATAGTCTGAAAAGTTAAACTTCTGTGTGTGCACCCCTACCTTTTTTCAAATACATTGACAACACACTATTTAATTTGAACAACAAAACATTAATTCAAATAAAATTTTGATTCATACCAGCACTTGCTTGTTTTGTCACAGTAAAATATCTTTCAATAGAATCAAAATTAAAAAATTGATTTATGACGCTTAATAACCTATACAAATCCGCTATTAATATAATACATTGTAGACATTTAAATTTTAAAAGAACTTACAATTAAAATCTAGTGGCTTCTGACATGACAAGGCATTACAATAGATTTAACTTCACTTCAGTACATCATATATAATCCTAATTTTATAGTGTTAAAACATAGATATTATTTGTACAGCTGTGATGAAATAACTTACATAAAAGTATCAGTCAACAGTCTCATCAGGTTGATTTGCAACCAATTTACTAAAGATTGCTGTTGGTAATACACAAAACATAATTATTACTATGAAAAATTGCAGTTTTTATTTAATAATAGTCATCCTATATAGTCTACATTGTATTCCTGCTTATATTCACTGTAAATGGTAATTCCTCTTAATATATTGATTGAAGATATAGACTTGAACCAAATAATAAAGAAAAATCATTAAAATAGTGTCACTGAACTCCTATTAAGAATAACAAATAGAATTCAAGTGATGGTTCGGTATTGTGATGCTTTATGCAGCCTGTAGTAGCAATTTTGCATTGATAAAGTTACATTTTCGCTAACATCCACGAATGATTGTCCTTTACATGGATATTTATGGTCTTGTCGGGTCCGCATCAGTCCGTCCGTACGTCCTTTTTCGGGCGGGGCGGGTCCGTCCGTCCGTCCGCTTTTGAGACCCTACCAATCCATTGTAGCCAGGTCTATTTGCGTTACGTCTTGTTTGTGAACGGAAATATACGAAAATTAGATTAGTATACTATTAATAAATTTGGACCACGTGGGCAAAATTAATTTAGAGGGTGTGTTCAAAAAGAACAAGATGGCGGAAATTTTAACGTGGCAAACTCAGATCTGAGTTTCTAACAGCTAGATAAGAGAGAGGGGCTGTCTAAAGCATCTCTAAAGGCTGAAGAACTTAAAAGCAGTTTGATCTAAGACTCCTCTATGTTAATCCTCATATTGACAGAATTAAAATTGTGAGAGAGGCTTGATTAGAAGTTTAGCTTGGCACATTTTCTTAAAGTATTAGGACAGTTCATTCTTGTCTCTTTTACTAGGTCATTTTGGTCAGTGGTGTTAAATAGTGGGTTTGCTTTGTTCAGACCCTGCCGGACTATAAGGATGGGGTCTGAATATGCATGCACATTAAGAGCTGGATTGATTTTATTTCAGTAGTTTTATTTCAAAAAGATGTTAATTGATGGAAGCTTGATTAAAAGTTTAGTTTGGCACATTTTTTTCAAAGTGACAGGATAGTTCATCCTTGTCTCTTTTACTGGGTTATTTTGGTTGTGTTAACTGGTGTGTTTGCTCTGTTCAGACCCCAGCCATGAGGCCGGGGTCTGAATATGTATGCAGGCTAAGAGCTGGATTGATTTTCTTTAGTTCAATTATAATTTCAATTGTTAATTGATGGCTCATGCTCGCCCCTTCAATGTTAATACACATATTCACATCATGTGTATATACAAACACACACAAGTTGACACAACTTGCTAGTTGTCACTACAACCAATAAACAAATACACACACACAATACATATGTACATACATACACACATGTAATGTGTACATATGTAGGGACAGGAATATAATGTATAAAATTACATGTACATTGTACATGCTACATACACAAGTATGTATGTACACATGACATTACATGTTCATCAATAATTATACTGACTGTCACAATAATCACAAATATTACCTTTATCATGTTGTTCCTTGTCTTGTCTCAGTGCAGATATCATAATAGGATCATCATTAATAGTCTCCAAGAAAAGAGAAGCTTTCTCATCATTACTAGATGAATCATTCCTTATCTTCTGTAGAATAGGAAGGGACACTTCTTCCACTGACAGTATAAACTCTAACAATTGAAGTGACTCCAACATTGAGTAAACACAACTACTAGGAATGACTCCCCTATTACCAGACACCAAGGATCTTCCATACCACCAAAAACTATTAGACTTGTCATATATCTCCAGCTGCTCTCCCTCACTGAATAAAAGAGCAAAACTATGTATTCCAGGATAGTCAATACGTGCTGTGTAAATAGATTCTGCTGTTGGTGATATCCACTGATCCTTCTCTATACAATATATCAATCAGTTAATGATTTAATTACTAACATATCACATACTCTCAATATTTCCTTTTTCACTCATCAGCAGTTGTACACTAGTTATTGATATATTTTCTTGTAGTAACTCAATCTCTTTCTTATACTCCACTAATGCCTCCTCTCTTCCTGTGATGAGGTAGTATAGACAGATTATACCAGTAGAGTCAGTACCTGCTTTCATTAGGAGAGAGTTTTGGAAATACTGAGTCTCTGATTTCTTTGATTTGAATATTTCATTTATAGCCACTTGTAACCTTGCTCTTTCCATCTTCAGTATAGATTCTAGTTACAATGAGATTTTCAATTTTTATAAGATAATTGTACTGATTGTTCAAATGATTATCAACTCCACATTACTTTAATACATGCTTTAAGTTACTACTATACCTGGTGTCTCTAGTCTCCTTTCAATATACTCTATACAAGTAAAAATACATTAATAAAATATCTTCATCATTCACTAACTATACCTTTTCTTTTTTTCATGATATTCAGTTGTTTATCTTGTTCAGATATTGATCCTATACCATTAGTATAAGTAACATCAGTAATTGAGTAATAGATCAACTATCACACCTTCTTTGTAATCAAGTAAAGTCCTCAGTTCCTGTTTCTCTCCATCAGCTAGTCTAATCTCCTCTGCAAGACACTCATTATTCATTACCTATAATCAGTACATAATATTAAACAAGGTCTCATACAGTTACAGTATCTTATACTTTGTATCTGATCCTTTTATCATAGACAGTGTAGTGGCCAATGGTTAGTCTAATTAAACTGAATTCCTTCATCAAGACAGTTAGGTTGTCTTGTGCTTCCAAGAGAAGAGCAGCTAGTAAATGATGTGGACCATAACAGATGATAATGATGGAGTTCCCACGATGAATGCTTCGTACAATAATCCTCTTGTCCAAGTCTTCAAATGCTTTCTCCAAGAGGCGTCTAATGTCATCAAGTGTGTGTTCATCAGGTTCCCATTCCAGTACAAACTCCACTTTCTCACAAGTAAGTGAACTGACGGCTAGTGACAGCTTCTTGTTGAGCATGAACTTGACCTTTATCTTTGAACAGAAGTCATTGACTGCTTCTTCGAACTCAGTGATCATCTTAAGTGCACCAGTAATGTGGTATTTATTAACAATTGCTTTTATTGGTACTATATTGATAATATTGCATCTGCTCTCAACAATATTCATGACTTCTTCAACTGAACCCACAGATAATAACTCTTCTTTTACTTCAGGAAAGCAGAAAGCAAGGTACTTCTTAATATCATCAGTGGAAGGTACATTCTCCACTACTAGTTGTATTATGTCATAGCGTAGATCACCAAACTTAACACGAACTTCATCAAAACGACAATTGTGCACTTCACTAACAAAAAACTCTTCAACTATTGATAGATATGAATATTATTATATTACATATATTATTATACCTGATGGGGCATTACTAGGTAAAGATTGATCTATTTCAATACTATTTGCTTCAGGAAATATTTCATCTAAATTTATAAAAGTTAATTTAATTTTGAATAATGAAGGAGGTCTTACCACAGTCTTTAATAATATCTTGAGCTAAAGGTTTAGTTTCTTCTAATTCCATTAATATATTTCCTAGTGACCTCAGCTTACTGTGATCATCAGATACTGCAATCATTAATTCTCTTAATGTATCACTTAATGAGCCACCACATCTCTCAATCTTCCTTTGTGTATCCTCAGTGATTAATCCTTCTGTATATAACAACTGGATACAACTATCAGTGAGAGATACTTGTGATATTCTATCACTGTAATGCTGGAATATCTGACTAGCAGGATCATCATCTAATAAAGTATATAAAAGTATAATTTTACATTAAAAGGTAATTAACCGTAACCGCAATAATAGATCTAATTAAAATATGGTTATCAGTGTTGCTATCACTTATTTTTAATCAGTATTTCCTGTATACATAACTATACAAGGTGTATGTATTGTTGACTTTGACTGAATCAAAGGAATTCAGGGCTGGAGTTTAAATCCCTGCATGTTTACTGATCAACACTGATTCAAAGTATGGAAGGATATGGAGAAGTTTTACTCATTGACCTTGGTGATTTTTACTAGTGTTGTTTTGGTATGAACATTTGTTTTGGTTATAGTTATA